TTTTTTTTTTTTTTTTTTTTTTTTTTTTTTGACTTTTTTGACTCTTTTTTGGTTAGGATCTTACTCTGTAGCCTAACATGAAACTTACCATGTAGTCCTGGCTGGCCTCAAACTCATGGCAATCCTCCTGCCTCAGTCTTCAGATGCTGGGAGTTGTGCATCACCATATTCAGCTCCTATTTATCATTAGAAGAAAAGGAGTTTACAGTCATTCTTTATCTTTTCCCTTCCTTCTCCCTTCTTCCTTTATTTTCTTTTTTCTGTCTTTATGTAAGACAGATTCTTGCTATGTAGCTCTTGCTAGCCTCAAACTCCAGGTGCCAGAATTGTGTCACCATGCTTAGATTAGCCATATTTTTTGGTTTATACTTTCTTCTAAAATTATATTTTTGGGGCTAGGTATGATGTTGTTTACCCATAACTACAGTCTCACAGTGAAACCATGTTCCTATGACTGGGTAACTCAGACTATTAATTAATGGCAAATTCTGTAAAACAGATGAGATTACTTAGTTTGCCAGTAACTTACATTTGAGCCTACTATTAAAGGCACATCATTAATACCATGCAGTTTAGGAAATGGAAGCAAACTGACTTGTAATTTGAAGTAAATATGAAATAAATATAGATTAGAACTCCTTTAATTTCCTGGAACTTTAAAAGTTGTCTTGCTATAATAAAGTTTTAGAAAGCAGAAAAGTGACCCCTCTAAAGTAAAGTCTAAAGTGAAGCTTTTGGACTCAAGAATTTAAAAAGAGAGGTTTCATGCATCCGGGTCATTTTTTACTTTCCAATCCTCTGAAGTCTGGTAAAAGGTCTGGGCTAATGTCTGGGCTAAGTCGATACTAGGAACAAGGCAGGATGAGCACAAACACAGACAGACTGGAAGAGGAAAGAAGCCGCTGACCGTGCTGTCGAGAGTGAGCACTGACTGGGTCTCCCCTAGAGCTGTGGAAATGGCATCTTGTGTACAGGCTGAAGCCGCCTTCGGTGGCTTTGCATGCGAGCTTGCATGCAGGAATGAACGCCTTGTCTGTTGGTCCCCAGCTGCTGAGACAGTCACCTGTTCTATCCCTGAGAGTGTGCCCATAGACATCACGGTGAAGCTGATGGTCTGCCTGGTGCATCTCAACATCCTCGAGCCACTCAACGTAAGTAGCACGGGGGCCACGCCCGCCGCATAAGCACTGTAAGATCCTTCCTGTTGAGCCCGCGGTCTCCGTCAGATGACTAGAAATTACAATGAGACCTTAGATTTTCACATTTCTTAGTGACGGGGAGGGCACGGTAAATGTCACATTACTTCCATAGGAAGGACTCATAAAAGCAGAGCGTTTTGGAATTGGACTTGGAATAATTTTTTTTAATTTTTTATGATTTATTTATCTTTATGTACATTGGTCTGAAGGTGTCAGATCCCCTGGAACTGGATTTTCAGACAATTGTGAGATGCCATATGGGTGCTGGGAATTTAACTCAGGTCCTCTAGAAGAGCAGTCAGTGCTCTTAACCGCTGAGCCATTTCTCCAGCCCTGGAATAATTTTCTTTTAAAATGAGAACAAGATTAGAAGTTGTGGTTAGCCCCTAGGCAGTCTATAATTGCCATATCTGCTCTCTGTTTCTGACTTTGGAACAAGTATTTCATTGAATAAAAAATGTATTGGGCATCTGCTTTGTTGACCTTTGGATAAGGTATTGAGTAAAACAAACCTTCCCTTCTCTGGTAGATCATTTGTTATAAGAGATTAAATACATTCATAAAATATGTAAGTTATTGAGTGGTGAAAAGTGTTCTGAAGAAAAAGAAATCTACAGAATGGAGGAGTGGGAGAAAGCCGTAGGGATCTCCTGAGAAGGTGATGACTACAGGATGGAGGAATGGGAGAAGGCCGTAGGGGACCCCTGAGAAGGTGCCATCTGAGCAGGAGCTGAGGGAGTGGCTCTTCAGACTCCCGAAATTGCAGGGAGCCGAAGGCACAGACTTGATTGCTGTTTAGAGAACGCACTCCCCAGTGAGCTCACTTCCTAGCCACTGGCCCTTTAATAGGCCCACGCAGCCATGAGTGAATGACTGAGTGAGTCAGAAATAGAGAAATGACCAGTGAGCTGTTTTTGTTAGTCCTTGCTGCTTTTTTGGCTTATGTCATGTAGCTGATGAAGAACGTGGTTATTTACAGTGAGGGTTTAACTCTGGTTTTTTGGGGTTAGCCTCTCTTGACAACACTGGTGGAACAGAACCCTGAAGATATGGGCGACCTCTATCTGGATGTGGCTGAAGCCTTTCTGGATGTGGGTGAATACAACTCTGCACTTCCCCTGCTCAGCGCGCTGGTCTGCTCTGAAAGATACAACCTTGCAGTGGTTTGGCTTCGGCATGCAGGTAACGCTTCAGCTGTGGAGGAAACTGTTTTAGGCCTCCATTCCCAACACGGTACATTATAACATAGAATATCCGTGCCAGTAGTTCCGGTTTCGTGTAGCTGGGAGACTGGTTTGTACCGCCCGCGGTAGTCTTGCTAGATTACCAAGTGTCAGCACCCTTGAGCCATCGCTGATGTGGGTGACCTCAAAGCCACAGAGTTCTCTCTAGAGGACAGTAAATTTACCTAATGACGTTGACTTTGCAGGAAATTGGAGGGTGATAACGTAAGAAAGCTGACATGCCCCTTAAACACCTGTCCTTCACTTGCCGTAATCACGCATTATAGAACTGTATTATCAGATAGGAACAACATTATTTTTAAAGAGTTTTTATAAATGTATGTTTAATGTTATTTGAAGGGAAATAGTTGATGTGCTTTTCCATGATATTTGAGCCCCCGTGCTCAAGATTAACCTATTGTTTTATTTTATTGTGATTAAATCCATAGTAGTCTGAAAATAAGTTATTCAGAGTAGAGAAAAACCACTTAAGAAAGCAACCAGATCTCCTAGACATACAAAAATAGAAGATAATCTGCTAGGATGCCCTAAGTAAAAAAGATTAAAGGCTGGGCCTGGCGGTGCACACCTGGGGAACAAAGGCAGGCGGACTTCTCTGCGTTTGAGGCCAGCCTGGTCTACAAGTTAACTCTAGGCCAGCCAGGGCTACATCGTGAGACCCTGTCTCAAACAAACAGACAAGCAAAAAAAAGTCCCAAAAGAAAAAACAAACAAAAAGACATTAACAGAACAGTTTTCATTTAATATTAGAAAGTTGTAACAAGTATTGAGAGAAGCAAGTCCTCTGTAACTGGAGAAGAAATAGTTGGCCTCAAAGAACATGGCTCACATCACAGGTGGGATCTAGGAAAAGTCTCGTTATTAAGAGAACGTTTTTCGCCCACTGGTGGTGGTGCACGCCTCTTAGTCCCAGCACTTGGGAGGCAGAGGCAGGCAGATCTCTGTGAGTTCGAGACCAGCCTGGTCTACAAGAGCTAGTTCCAGGACAGGCTCCAAAGCTACAGAGAAACCTTGTCTCTAAAACCAAAAACAAGCAAGCAAAAAAGAGAAAATTTTCTATTTTGAAGAGTAGACATGAATGTTATAATACCTTTAAACCAAGCCACTTTTGTGGGGTTTGTAAAGGAGCCGTGGTACACTAGGGCTGCCCCGTGATCAGCAGTAGACGCTTGGAAATCCTTTCTCGTCCTGATGGTGTTGATTGCTGCTTTTTCCATTTTGAAGCCATGCAGCTTAAAGTTAGTGAATTGCGTCTGTCAGCTGAGTTGTAGTGGAAATTAAAGCTGCGGTCATCTAAACCTCAGGGAAGCCCACTGAAGGATTTGATAGCTGTGGCGTCGCGTGAGCTAACTAACTGGGACAACGAGTAGGAGATGCCGTCATGGTGGCCCAGTCATGTCGCCATGCTAGTTTGTTCTCGAGAGTTAGCCGGCCGCGGTGGCCGGGAGACATTGGAGGAAACAGTTCGAAGAGGACACTTCGGAGGTCATCTGAGGAGGTGTGGGCTGGTGGTAGTGGAGCTGCTAGAACAGAGAGGACAGGAGAGAAGACAGACTTCTCAGAGCGTGCCTCCGAGTTCAGATGCCTGAGCGTAGTGGATAAGGGGGAGGTAGTTAATATTGGGGGTTTACAAAACCAGGGAACCCAGTAACAGTGTGAGTGAAGTGGTTATGGGGGTATAGAGAGGTGAGCACTGGGGAGTCACCTCTCCATGGGCTCGTGATGCCGTGTGAGAGGAGAGAGCTAGCTTACTGTTGCCAGTACCCTGGATTTTATAAAATCCTAATCTAAGATACATAGACAGTTAATGCTGTCAGCAGTCACTGTGCCGTAACAAGTCTGTGGATTAAGTCGGCTCTCGGCATGTTAAGATGTTTCCTGTGGTATGACCGGAGTGTATGTTATTATATAACATTCAAAATGCCAGTGAGGACATGGGGAATGCTAAAAACAGCACCCAGTGAGGAAAGACTCATCAAGTTGAATCTAGACTCTGACTACATCCTTGACGCAGTTTAGTTCTGAGGCCAGGCCTGGTGTCTAGCTCACCCCATAGAGTGCTTGCCTTGTATGCATAAGGCTCTGGCTTTGATCTTTACCACCAGGGAAGAGATCAGTAGAATGGCCAGTTTTCAAACAGTTAACAGAGTAGGAGGGAGACTATAGTCGGGGTATATCGTTTATAATAAATAAATTATAATAAAGAATAAATTTTTTAGACAAGGAAAAATAATACGAACAATATTACAGTTTTCTTATGTTTCTCTAACAGTTTAAAAAAAAAAGATTTATTTATTATGAATACAATATTCTGCCTGCATGTGTCCTGCACCCCAGAAGAGGGCACCAGATCTCATTATAGATGGTTGTGAGCCACCATGTGGTTGCTAGGAATTGAACTCAGGACCTCTGGAAGAAGAGTCAGTGCTCTTAACCGCTGAGCCATCTCTCCAGCCCCAACTCTAACAGTTCTTTAAAGCAGTAAAATCCTGCCAGGGGAGAAAGTGTGAATGGTACTCAGGCTCGGAGGCCGGGGCGAGAAGGTTGAAAATTTGAGAGCCGTCTATACTACATAGTGAGACTATCTCAGAAAGTAAAACAAAAGAAAATAAATTACTAATTAAATTTGAAAAGCAATAGTTTTGTCCAGTTTACAACTTGAGAATTAACCATCTTTATTTTACCATCCTAGAATGTTTGAAGGCCTTGGGCTACATGGAGCGCGCTGCCGAGAGCTATAGCAAAGTGGTTGATCTGGCCCCACTCCACTTGGATGCAAGAATCTCACTTTCCATCCTCCAGCAGCAGCTGGGTCGTCCCGAGAAAGCCCTGGAAGCTCTGGAGCCGATGTATGACCCGGACACATTAGCCCAGGAAGCCAATGCCGCACAGCAGGTAGGCCATGCCTCTGGGCTCTGTTTTTACGGCTACTGCCGAAATGTTTTGTTTAGTGTGTTCATTTAGTGGGATTTGTTTGTGTTGACATGTGTGTTGTATGTACTAGTAGCATGAGTGTGTCTGCTTGGAGGTCAGAGGCAGATGACGTGTGTTGTATGTAGTAGTTAGTGCGGATGTTGCATGTTGGAGGTCAGAGGCAGATGGTCTGTGTGTTGTATGTAGTATTTAGTGTGGATGTTGCATGTTGGAGGTCAGAGGCAGATGTCAGGTATCCTTCCTAGGTCTCCCCACATATGTTGTATGTTGACACAGTCTCTCACTGAACTTGAAGCTCTCATTGCTTCTGCTGGCCAGCGAGCTTCCGCCTCTGTGCCATGTGCTGGGTTCTGGGGTCTCCATTTCCCTAGCCTCCAAACTGAGTGGTTTTGAAAAACAGTTTCGTCTTAAGTTTTAGTCATTTTTATTAAGTATAAATTATAGCTTCTAAAGTAATAGGTTTTGATTTTATCATAAAACAAATGTTCATAGTCTAGTTTCTTAAACAAAAAACAAACCTTATTTCTTCAAATAAAACCATTTTCGTCAGCTCCATCTCAGCAGTCCCTGTCGTGTGCTTGCTTCTCTAGGAACTGAAGCTGCTGCTTCACCGGTCTACGCTGTTATTCTCTCAAGGGAAAATGTACGGTTACCTGGACACCTTACTAACCATGCTGGCCATGCTGCTGAAGGTGGGGAGTGACTTTTCTTTACATTAGCCTTGCTCATTTTAAAAATGTTTAAACAGAATGACAGCTATGTAATCATCCCTCTGTATTAAACAGTTTAAAGAGAAAAGCAGGTGAATACAAGACTTAGAATTTAGTGATATAAGACTAGAAATTCTTTTATAACAGGGATTTACTCCGGGGCCTTGCATATGTTAGGCAAGTACTCTCCTATTGAGCTATATCCAGCCCCAAGATTGGTAATATAAGCTTGATTGTAGAAAGACTGAAATAAAATCTTTAGGTCTACTTACCTTGAAACATGGGAACTCAAGAATTCCCGCTTTTTAGCCCCACAGACAGTAGTATGTATGTATGTACTAAAATGGGTCATTTTGAGAAAATGTACCTGTTTGCACATCCATTCTGAATCTTTTTTTGTTGTTGTTGTTGTTGTTTTGTTTTTGAGACAGGGTTTCTCTATAGCTTTGGAGTCTCTTCTAGAACTTGCTCTGTAGACCAGGCTGGCCTCGAACTCACAGAGATCCGCCTGCCTCTGCCTCCCGAGTGCTGGGATTAAAGGAGTGTGAGTCTGTTTTTGCAGGGAAGAGACATGCATTTCCTCTCCCTCTCCTGCTCTGCATGTCATAGTGAGCTGACAGTGTCCCCTGATAATGTGTCTGTAGTGACAGAAATTCCTTTGATAAGAAAAATAGATCAATTCATTCTACTTGTAGGCATTTAAAATGTGGAGTCATTTGCTGGCGTGAGTTCAGCCCGGTTTGTGGTACTCGTGGGTCGTCAGTCTTCCTAAGTTACTGGCTAAGAAGCGGCTTATCTTTCATTCAGGTCGCAATGAACAGAGCCCAGGTTTGTTTGATATCCAGTTCCAAATCTGGAGAAAGGCATCTCTACCTTATTAAAGTGTCAAGAGATAAAATATCAGACAACAATGAACAGGAAACATCAAATTATGATGCAAAAGGTAATCGTTTCATTTGTTTTACATAAAACTTGACTGAATGAAAAAGACTGAGGTAAAGCCTGATAACCTAGAGGAAATGAAAATTATAATCGTCTGCCAGGAATAACCAACTCATTGTTGTCGAAAAGACAACTGCAAACACTTAAATATTAAAAGCAAAATATCCACTGGATGCTTCTCTGAAAAACATAAAAGTGAAACAGTTTTGACCTTTTATGAAGAAAATTACCCTGTGAAGATTAGATGTCCAGTGACTGTGATCACATTGCTTCTGTTGTGTTGAATCTTTTTATGACAAAGGTAGCGGTCACAGGAATTCTCTGCAGGTGAATGTCAGTGACCCTCCAAGTCACCGGACTTTAAAGACATCTAGCTGGGGTGTTGAGTGCAGTGGTTACCCAGAGAAAGACCCTTAGATACTGGAGACGGCAGTCTGGGGGTGACTGCATTTTAGCTAACACAGCATTGATTAACTGTGAGTCAGGAGCGCTCAGATGCCCACGACCTGCTGTCTCCTCAGTTCGTGGGTTCTGGGTTTAATCCAGAAGCTTCTCATGGCATGTAGTTTGGACGTTTCCCTAAATTATTTTTCTGCATGTAAAACCTAGCTTTTTCCTTCCTCATTTCAGGTCTGCTGGCTTTTCTTAGTTTGGTAAGATTACTAATTTGATCTTAGTGGTGATGGCATCAGATTGGATGTCTTTATGTAGCATGAACATTATGTAGGGTCAACCCAGGCCCTGCACATGCTGGGCAGGTTCCACCAAAGGTCCTCCCTGTCCTGCATGCAGCTCTGCATTCTGTATTTTCACATAGAATTTTCTTAGGGTTATTCTGCTCTCTGTGTAGCTGGTGTGGAGAATGCACACTAGTCCACTGGAAAGCAGTCTATACTATATCAGGTTTTTTTTTTTTTAAAGATTTATTTATTATGTATACAACTTTCTGCCTCCATTTATACCCACACGCTAGAGGACAGCGCCAGATCTCTTTACAGATGGTTGTGAGCCACCATGTGGTTGCTGGGAATTGAACTCAGGACCTGTGGAAGAGCAGACAGTGTGCTCTTAACCACTGAGCCATCTTTCCAGCCCCCAGGTTATTTCTTTATATTCTGGTCTTCATACATAGATCAGTCCATGTTTTCATTGTTTAACATGGATTACCAGAGTAGTTGGTAGCTCAGACTCTACAAATCTTTTTGCCTTTCTTTTCCTCTCCCCCTCCATCCGTTTTTCTTTTTCAGTGTTAGGGATTGAACTGAGGGACCAACGCAAGCTAGGCAAGCCATCTGCTACTGAGTTGTGTTCACCAGCCCAAGTCCTGATTGGTTTCCATTGTCTCGTTCTAGCAATATTTGCTGTGCTCACGAGTGTCTTGCCCAAAGATGACTGGTGGAACCTTCTCTTGAAGGCCATCTACACCTTGAGTGACTTAGCCCGGTTCCAGGAAGCCGAGCTGCTCGTGGACTCCTCACTGGAGTACTACTCGTTCTATGACGACAGGCAGAAGCGGAAGGAGCTGGAGTACTTAGGTCTGTCTGCTGCTATTCTGGACAAGAATTTCAGAAAGGCCTATGACTACATCAGGTGACTTTCCAGTCTTTTAATCATATTTCAGAAATATCCGTGTGTGTGCCTGAGTGTATGTCTGTGCACCACTGTGCAGGAGCTCATGGAGCTCAGAAGAGGGCACCAGATCCCCTGGAACTGGAGCTACACATGGCTGGCAGCCAGCATGTGGGTGCTGGGAACTTGATTCTCTGCCAAAGCTGATGGTGCTCTTAACCACTGAGCCATCTCCACCCCTCAGTAGTATTTTAAGTCTATTTTCCGATACCACCTGTGTACTTACTTGACTTAGGCTCCTACATCAGAAATTAATAAGCTGTTTTGTTCCCGATGCTCCTGTGGCCCGTGGCTCAGTTCACTGCTGATTCTTAGGTGAACTTTACAGCTGGAGTTCTCAGGTTCAGGCCCCTGACATTTCCTGGTTTGTGACATCAGGCTTGTGGTTTAACCTCTCCTTCCAGGATCCCATTTGTAAAAGGGCATCCTACTGTCATTAGGGTTAAATGGCTTATTGTATCTAAAGCCTTTCACAGTGCCTGGAGCGCTATGTTTATCAGTCACTGCTACGGTTCTCTGGCGACAGGAAGCTGGAAGGCAGGTACAGCAAGCTGCCAGACGTTTTACATTGAGAGATGTTTTTCAACATCAAAAACAAGATAAAAGCTACCTTAAGCAGTATTTTCTAGGGAACAAGATCTCTCATCGTATAAGCAGCTTTGCTTTTCCTTAGGGGGACAGCACTAAAGGTTTTTATTAAACTTGCTGACTTCTACATTCTTTCCCTACCCTTTTCGTCCTGCTGCAGGGTGATGGTGATGGAAAACGTCAACAAACCCCAGCTCTGGAATATCTTCAACCAAGTCACCATGCACTCCCAAGACGTAAGACATCATCGCTTCTGCCTCCGTCTGATGCTGAAAAACCCAGAAAATCATGCTCTGTGCGTTCTAAATGGACACAACGCATTTGTATCTGGGAGCTTCAAACACGCACTTGGTAAGTGTGCTGACACCTGATTGTCGGCATGGGGTCAAGGGCCAGGCTTCTGCTCTGGAGCAGAGCTGCCTGGGTTTCAAATAGCCTCTTTCCCATGCAGAGCAGACCATAAACAGACGTAAGAACCTATCGTAGAGATTATTTTGGACATTCAGTGAGTTAATATAAAGAAATCTTTAAAACAAAGTCTGCTATGTAAGAGTGCTTCTAAGTACAAATAATAATCTTGAGAACGTTTTGTTATTTTTCTTTAGAGGTTAGGTCCAAGGTCAGCAGGTATTCCTGCTTAGGGTTAGAAGTCATCACCTGGCAACCGTGTGCACACATGCGCATGCCCACATGAACACTGTCACACACCACACACATTCTCCCTTTACTTTGCAAACAGATTTAAGGTCATAGATTATCATACTGCTAAATTATTTTAGAAGTATTATTCTATGTAGAAATGTCTATCTCGGCTCAAGTTACTCTATCATCAAGATATACTTATGAGGATACTTCCAATAGTGGTGTACATTGCGGTCTGGCCTCTCTCTCCCCAGGGCAGTATGTGCAAGCCTTCCGTGCCTGCCCCAGCGAGCCCCTGTACAACCTCTGCATCGGCCTCACCTTCATCCACATGGCGTCTCAGAAGTATGTGCTCAAGAGACACGCTCTGACCGTGCAGGTAACTCGGTAGACTCCCGCACCTGAGTGCGTGTATGTAATGCCTTTCGAAAAACCTATTTCAAAAGTAAATGCCCGCTTGATAAAAGTGTTGGGAACACTCAGCACCGATTCCTGTGCTCCAGACTCATGGGACTCAGCATAATGTCACACTGAAGATGAAGGCTGATTTCCAGCAGGTAGTGAGCATGTGCAGTAAGATTGCTGCAGCTGTAGGAGAATCTGCAGGATTTAGCAGGGTAGTGACCATGTACAGTAAGATCACAGTGGCTATAGGTAGAATCTACAGGATTTTGAATTGGGTCCTTTTATGCTCTCTGGAGGCTCCTGTCTGAGGTCCTAAGGACTCATTTGATTAGTTTTGTGTGCCTGCTCACATCTGTGCAGGTGAAGCCACACACACACACACACACACACACACACACACACACACACACACGTACGTGTGTGTGTGTGTATGTGTAGAAGCTAGCGGTTAAATTGGAGATCTTACAGTCTTTCACCTTCCTTTTCCACAATGTTCCTTGAGCCTTGGTAGTGTTTTGTAGATATTTTCCCTGGGACTGGGCTCCACTCTACATTTTAATTGGTGGAGGTTTTTCCTAGTGGTCTCTGTTGCAAAGAAAATGCTCCTTGATGAAGAGGGAAGACTACTCATCTGTGTGGTTAGGAATCGTGCTGGCTTTAGTAAAGGAGTGGTTGTAGATCCTCCTCTAATAGCAATGAGTAGCTGGCTAGGTTTCCAGTACCAGGCATGGCTTTCCTCTTGTCAGGTGGATCTTAAGTACAGGTAGAGAGCGGGGAGTGACCACCAAGGTGTGCCCCTTCAGGGTTCTCAAGCCATGGTGGACATTGATATGATTCGTAGTATCATAGCTGTAGGAATGGTGGTTGCCTCCCTCCTTTGGAAGCTTGCATGGTGCCTTCTGGTGCCATGAAACCCAGTTGTCAGGGAGGGGACAGTGGTCTTCCAGCTCAGGGTGTCAAGGCCTGTTTCTCAAGTCCATGGTGTCTTTACCAATAGGGACTGTCCTTCCATTTTGGGGTCAACCGCGGGCAGCAGCAATAGGCTGTATGCTTTGGGAGTCTCCTGAGTAGTCTGGGCCGACAGCTCAAAGGAGGACTTCTTATCTGGTATTGGGGTTTTTAGTCTTTGGCCCTTTGAAGGCAGACCAGATAAATCCATTAAAATTATATATAGAGAGAATTACATGCATTACAGTTGTTTTAAAAGGCAGATTTTTCTTGTGGCTCATTCTTTCCTTTCCTCCATTTCTTTCTGTACTTCCCCCTCTCAGCCCTAGAGCCCCGTTATCCCATCCCCCTCAGGTCCTCTTACCCTCTTCCCTCCTGTATCTCCCTGGTCAGATCGCCGGTGCCCTGCCGTTCATCCCTCCTCTCTTCTCACCACCGTCCCCTCATCTAGCAGTGGTCTCACTTTATTTTCCCAATTTCTGTAGTTGCTCCAGGCCCTGTGCTCATTTCTGAGGATGTGGAGTTAGGAGCCTCCAGTACGAGAGAACACGTGATGTTTGTCTTTGGGTCTGGGTCCATACACTGACCTGCAGAGATCCGGGTTCCATTTTCTTTTCAGCCAAGTAGCATTCTATCGTGTGTGTGTCACATTTCTTCATCATTTGTCGTTGTAGGGTGTTAGGTTGTAGGGCGTTAGGTTGTACCCACCCCCAGCTTTTCTGAGCAGCAGTCATCTGGAGCAGTAGCTAGAGCGCATGGGAGGTTATTTTTAGCTTGAGAATTCTACACACTGATTTCCATAGTGGATGCACAAGTTTCCAGTCCTACAGTAGTGAATGGAGGGTCTCTTCTTGCATCCTCTCGTTTCTTGTGATGGGTTATCTCTCGGCCATTCTTCTTTTCTTTGAGAACTCTCTGTTCAGGTCTTGAATGGTGATGTGTGTCTATATTCTAGATGTTAATCTTGTCAGATGTACAGCTGTGCAGAGACTTCAGTTTTAGGAGGTCCCCCTTGTCTGTAGCATGATTCCCTGCGTCAGTGGCACGTTGGTGGTGTATAACCAGACTGACGTGCCCGGACTTCTTCAGTGTGCTGCCCTTGGGTGGGTAGCGATACAAGGTGAGCATGCTCAACCGTCCTTTTCTTTTCGGTAGGGCTTCTCCTTCCTTAATCGATACCTCAGCATACGTGGGCCTTGCCAGGAATCCTTCTACAATTTGGGCCGTGGCCTCCATCAGCTGGGACTGACTCACCTTGCAATCCACTATTACCAGAAGGCTCTGGCACTCCCTCCGCTCGTGGTAGAGGTAATGTGCACATGGCTTTATTCCACATTCTGCTGTAGTCCAAGGGTCTAGACATAGTGTATATAGTACAATTTATGTTTGGGGTCAGGTGTAGTGATACATTATCAACAATCTCATGGGAAACCAAGCAAGATCTCAAGCCAAAGGCCATCTCAGGCCACAGAAAGATCTTGTCTCAAGTTTTTTTTTTTTTGTAATGTATTTATATTTAGGCTTAGCAGCAAGAGACTGTGGCATCCTGGCCTTGTGGTCTGACCCTGTGCACATGCGGTTGTGACCTTTGGCATCCTTTTCAGTTATGCAGAGGTAGCTCCTGTGTCTTCCAGTAGGAGCTGCCACTTGTGAATTCCAAGTATCAGTGTATACTGTTCAATTCTGAGTTCCACAACAACCCGTTTCATGAGAACAACCAAACAACCCTTTTTTGTATGTGGGGGTTCATATGATTGCAAGCGCGTGTATACCAAAGCGTGTGTGTGGGGTCCCGAGACCAGCCTCGCGTTGGGCCTCGCCGTCCACCTTGTCTGAGGTGGAGTCTGTCTGTTGTGAGCCGCTGTGCACTGCAGAGGCAAGTCCTGGAGGTCTGTCCTCGGGCTGCCACGCTTGCCCAGCTCCTCACACAGACGGAGGCCACTGTCAACATAGTTTTTGAAGTTTGACACTTTAATTCCTCGCACACTGAGCAGCAGCATTTGTTTTGGCCTCCATCAGTGAAAGGGAACTTTGAACACAGCAAGGGAACTGCCCAAGTTTTCAGACCCCTGCTAGGAACTCTTGACAAGCTCCCAGTGGGGCTCCCGACCGCGTGTGGTGCCATTTACTGACTCAGAATTTGTCTCTTCTACTATGACTGGTAAGACTTTTCAGTTGCTTAGACATTTGACAAAACCGTGACTATACTCCTGAATCAGTGTAGATCTGTAGGTCCAAGGTATTCTGTTTTTAGTATTATATGATTTTAAGTCATTTTGGAAAAGTACAGAAGACAGTTGGAAATAAGATACTCATTGTCTTTTCTCCCAGGGCATAGAAGCTGACCAGTTAGACCTTCGGAGAGACATTGCCTACAACATGTCTCTCATCTATCAGAGCAGCGGGAACACGGCCATGGCTCAGAGGCTTCTGTACACCTACTGTGTCATATAAGCCCGCAGACCGAGAGAGGTGCGGGGACCCGTGTCTTCTAGTGAGACTTTCCAGATGGTGCTGTCCTCACAGCCATAGCGGTGAGGCTGGGGTGGGGCTCAGCTCTAGAGTGCCTGATTACTGTATGCACGAGGCCCCAGATTCGAGCCACAAGCCTTTAGAAACCAAAACATTGTTTGCAGTGTTACCATTCCCGTGAGGGTGTGCAGAGTACTCTGTTACCTCTCTTCAGCGTTCTACAGAAAATTATTCCCAGTGCTGAAACGGACACAGTCTCTGAGACAGTTGGAACCGAACGTTATTTTTCCATTTAGTGTCTGCTAAGCTCCTGTGTGGGAGACAGATGTGTTGTCCTCGAGGCATTGCAGAGTCCACTGCTGAGAATCAGCATGAGTACAGCTGTTTTATCTACTTATTTTCTTGTGCAGTCTATCGAACCCAGGTCTGGTACCATGCTAAGCAAGCAAGTGCTCTACCACTGAGCTACATGCTCAGCCTTACAGTTCAAGTGTGAACATACGTGAACATACAGTCTCTGCAGGGAACAATTCCTGCATTTCTGGACAGTGTCATTGCTGTCCAAATACACAGCAAAGGAGGGAGCTTACTAAAGAAGAAGCAGATTTGGATTCTTACAGTGATGTAATTACTTACAGCCATCACCTAACAACTAATTAAGATGCTTTTATAGGAAGACAATGAATCGATTCATTTCACATTCATTTGTGAGTATGTTAGTTTTAGAGCATGAGCCTTGGGCCTGCGCTTAATTCGAAGCCCAGCACGCCAAGGAAAAACAGTCAGTGCATCTGGCTTCCCAGTGGAGAGAAGTGGTCATCTTACCATGTTCACGTACTAGTTAGTACATGTGCATCCCAGTGCAGGTCACTCCCAGGCAACTACAGATTGCGGAAGCTGGACATTTGAAATAAAGGGTTGATAAAGTTTCAAGATATTTTATGTCATTGCATGTTGTTGAATCTCAGATCAAAACATGTGCTAGATATACTGTTTCAATAAAAAGAGCTTCTGTGGAAATGCTGTAATGTATGATTGATTCTAGAACCAATCCAGTGTTGAGATTGAAGGTTAAAATACAACGGAGACTTTTTCAGGAGTTCTCACCCCTCTTTGTACTGTATATTCAACTTCCTGAGAAGCAGAGTTTGTATATAATTAGGAAATGCATCTTGTATTCTGTATGTATCTACATATAAATAAATCCTTTTTAAAATTTTGTTTGTGCGTGTGTTCGCTGGTGTTTTGCCTGCAGGTGTGTCTGTGTGAGGGTGTCAGGTCCTCTAGAACTGGAGTTACGGACAGTTGTGAGCTGCCATGTGGGTGCTGGGAATTGAACCTGGGACCACTGGAAGAACAGACAATGCTCTTAACTGTGGAGCCGTGTCTCCAGCCCCATACATTCTATTCTGAGATTTTACCTTCTAAAAAATTTCATTTCATGCCATTGAGTAATAACGATAAGGCTAACTATTCATGACTGATAAATTTAGGTCTCGGAATCCTATCTGTGCATTCTGTATGTAGTTTCTCTTATGAACCACCACGTATAGAGTTCTCTGAACAGCAAACTGGAGGAAAGAGATTGGGGTTCTGTGTCGGAAGTTACTTCAGTCAGCATCTAACAGAATTATACATATTGGGTAAGTTGGGACTGGATCTCCGCGGATGGCGTGCCTACCTCGTGTGCACGGAGTTCAGAACCAGGTGTGGTGGGCACCATCTGCAATTCTGGTCCTTGGAGGTAGAGGAGCAGTCCAAGGTCGTGCTTGGCGGCAACAGGGTAAGTTCAAAGGCAGCTGGGTTCCGTGAGATGCTTGTCCTAAAGTAAATAAAGCAATTGTTGGTTGGAACGCAAGCAAGCAACTGACATAACCTTTTACTTTTCACTTCTCCTGTTTCTCGAGCTACACAGACTAAATGTCTGGTTTCTCAAATCTGCTAAACAGTATTGGCGGGACAAGGAACAAGTTTCCAAGAAAAAATTCTGTGTTGTGTGTTTATTTAACACTTACAGTCCCGGCTAGTCCCAACAAGCAAAGCCCTCAAGCCTGGTGATGGTGTCCCTCCTACGGTGATCAGGAATGAGAATAGGAGCTTGTGGGCCAGAGAGCAACCAGAGAGACCCTGCCGCAACAATGTGGACAGCGAGAACTAATTCCCAAAAGTTGTCCTCTGACCTACCCGTGTGCCCTCAAACACACACACACACACACACACACACACACACACCCCGAATGCTATGGTCCTACTGTCTGCTAAGCATCCTTGAGATGCTTGGCTTCTGATTTTGTGGAAGGCGGACGTTATTAGTTATCTTTCCTGTTCCAAAGAGGTTAAACATCCTGGCCAAAATTTATCAGTCCATGTCCAGAGTGATTCCTTCAGAGGAAAATCTGTTCCCATTTAGAGTAGCAAAACTTGCAAGAGTTTTACCCTTTGCTATTTTCCTTTCTCCCTCTCTGCGCTTCCCATGCCAGCTCTGCCTGCTTCCTTGCAATATATTCACTTCGAGGATTCTTTCTGCTGCCTGGAGTACTGCTCCCCCCGGGCCAAAGAATGTCCTTTTCCTTCCTTGGGAATGTGGGAGTTGAACGCTAGCCCTGCTGCGTGCTGAAACTGCAGCGCTATGTGGCCAGCCACCCGTTTGCTAGTTTTATTGAGAAAGAAGAGAGAGACTTGCACTGTCAAGAGAACTTAAGAAATGGGATTAACCCTAAGTTACTGTGGATGGTAGTTTTTTTTTTTTTTTTTTT